TCTGAGGAAACAGTTGATAAAGCACAAGCTTACTACACCTGTAGGATACTAAAATACCTGTAGGCCTTTGTGTTCTTTTGGTGTATGTAAGGGTATTTATACTCCATTTGGCACATTCCTTCAGACCACTCTATTGATAGTTGTGAAAAGAGGGTGTCCCAGGACTAGAGCAAAGAACAGCAAGAAACTCTCAAGAATGAAAATTGATAAATTCTAGATAAAACACAGACAGGACTACAAGTCAGGATGAATGGAGATGAGAGCCCTACTGGCAAGGTAGCCCAGGCCCTTTGCCAGCAGATACCTGCATATGGATGACTAAAGCATGCCATCCTTGGGGATGGCAGTGGGCAGGCATACTTCCACTGACACTGTATGATTTGAAAAAGATTTTGGGAAAAGTTACCCTTAGATTATATTAAAGGCTGCATATGGCCATTACTCTTGAGCCATAAACCATAAACCTTTATACAAGTAGTTGGTCAGTAGTGTGTTGTTCTAACTCTGTGGATTGGTCAATGTATAAGCAGCAGGGGACAGCAAGGTTTTGATGGGAAGAACCTATGAAGGACATCTTGTCTCCAAACCTTATATGCGAATCTGTTTTTTGCAGAGGAGAATCTTATGATTGGATACACCAGAAAAGCAGGCACCATAGTTCCCGTGTTGGCTGGAACACAGCCAAAAATGTATAATGATTTGGTGGCTATTTTTAAAATAGCCCAATATACTCTCACTAATGCACAAGGTGTCTGCCCCAAGATCTTGATTTTATATGTACATTCCAATATGAGGGAGACTCTGTATTTTCCAGATCAATATATTAATAGATGAATTTTAATTTAATTTCTTTTTCTCTCTTTGTTTTACTTTTTCAGTGCTGTTGATTCCTAGTATTCTATTTCCTAATGTTTACTAACTTAATTTACTATTTTTTTTGCTTTGCCAAAACTTAGTCTATTGATTAGAATCCTTTATGATTTCCTATCCCAAGAATTCATTGAACATCTCCAAATTCACACTCTTCAAATAAATTCTAATACAGAGTGATATTATTTAGTAAATGAAAATCAAATACTATGTATATTAATTGTAGATATTAAAAAGCATCAATGGTTATTTAGTATGGTACAAATTGAAAATAATCTTACAGGTTAATAAATGACACAGTTTACCAACACATAAAATTCTGCCTTAGCTGAACATGATAGTGGGACAAGAGCAAAGTAAAAGGAAAGAGAAGAAAGAAGTAGGAGGCAGGGGCATTTATAGATTTCTAAATACAGGCACCTACATATGTAAATATGTTTCCCAGTATATATGATGATGATGAAATAGATCTATGTGCATATCTTTATAGGTTTAGTATTAAGGTAGTAGATGAACATTGGGCTTCCACTCAAGTATTCCCTCAAGGCAAGAACACTTTGTTCTATTGAACTGGCATTCCATGATTCTCACCTTCCTGACACAATTGCTGAAGACAAAGTGTATGCATATGCAAATGTGGTGAAGAAAGCTGACCATGCCCGACTATCAAAATATATTGCGTCTAGGGTCTTAAAGGCTTGAAGATAAACAAGCAGCCATCTAGCTGAGAAGCAACAATGTCCACATGGAATAGCACACCAGCCTGTGTGATCACAAGGTGTCAATCGGATCAGGTATCAGGCATCAGAAAACAAAAACTCATATCACTGTGAATGATGGGGAGTGCAGAGTGGAGACTCAAAGCCCATCTGTAGGCAACTCACACCCCCTTACAGAAGGGTTGAGCCAGTAAGAGTGCAGTGTATCACCAATGAAACATACAAC